AGAAAAACAAATATTGACAGTATTACTCAGCTGGACATTCTTTTATTACTATATAAATTATTTTTTAAAATATATTTTTATTTTAAATGTATATTAAAATAATTTTTTTATTTTTTATATTCATTTTAAAAAAATAATTTAGTTTTTTAAAATATAATTCAATTTCTTTTTAATAAAATACAATGTATTAGAATGGTTGTTGGCTATTCATTCACTTGGAAGGTCAGGGGCAAGACCAAGACGTGGTTTGTTTAAAATGTGTCAACGATCAAATTATTATTTTAACATTTTAAAATAATTTTAATATGTTAGCATTAAAAGTAAAAATAATTAAAAAAATATTTTAATATATTTTTAAATAAAAAATATATTTTTAAAAAAATTCAATACCACCCAAAAGCATAAAACGAACAAAAAGTCAACCACAGTAAAAAAAAAAAACAAAACAAAATGAAAAAGGAGGTTAGGTGGGTGCCTGCGTTTTTTCTTTTGTTTTTCTAATTAAGAAATACAGGGTCCCACCCATCATGCGTGAATTATTTGTCCTTTTGGATATGGGCTGTCCATCCATTGTACTATGTTTTGATTTGGGGGGCTCGTTTCTACATGGGCAGGTAAGTACTTAAATGGGCCTGGATGGGCCGGACTGAGTTTTTATTTTCCTCCTAAAAATCATTTGTGATTACTAGTTAATGTATGAGAGGAGGATTGAGGTTGATCTGAAAGAAAAAAAATAATATATGTGTTTATTATAATTAATTAAAAATATATTAATTGATAAATTTAAGAAAAAATTGTGAAATTTAATTAAAAAACTAAAATGAAAAGTTGACTTTCAAAGCAAAAGCTAAGAATTATAAAAATATAAATATTTTCCGTTGAATTAACTTTTTATTTTATATATTTTTCATGTATTTATCGTAAAGGTTTAGTTTGGTTGTTAATGGAAATGATTATTGTTCATATATACGCAGAATGCATATAAAACTAATTTATCTAAAATTTTAAAAGAAAAAAAATAAAGATAAATTACAATAATCTCTTTGAGGTATTATAAAATTATAAAAACCTTTTAAAAAACTAATTAATATGTAAATGATATTCAAATTAAACAATTAAAAAATATATATAAAAAAAAGATATTAATACAAAATTAAATTAAAATAACAAATCAAAATTAAAGATAAAAACTAGAAATTTCTGAGCTTCGAATGCCATGTTTGAAAAGGAAAAAAGCTCTAGTATGCCGATGTTTGAAAGGCCATGCTCATTAATTTAGTTTTCTCTCTTTTTTTTCCTTAAAAAATAAAAACCATGAAATAACAAACAATACCAAATATTTTTTTCTTTGAATAGCATGTACAACACGTAATCTACTATTATAACTTTAACTTTAACGACAAAATCCTAGCTTTCAATTTGATTTGATCTAAAAAACCCTCAAAAACATCCTTAAGATCTTAATAAATTTATTTTAAACTTTAAAATATTTTTAATTACTCTAAAAAATAAAAATTAAATCAAATCAAATCAAATTTTTTTACAATCCCTCTTTTGCCTTTTCTTTTCTACATGATTAAAAGACAATGCCACCTTTATTGAACTTTCCTTGCAAAAACATATTTATTGACACTAAAATAAATTTATTTTTTTATGATTGAAAAGTGGAAAACCAAACAATTTGTTTTCCCTCTCTCTTTTCTAGTAACTTTCTTTCATATCTCAATATTTAGGGATTGAAATGCAACAAAAATAAAATAAGGTCAAAATATAAAAAAATATAAACCAAATATACAAATTTAAAAACTTTAGGCATCAAGTTGAAGGTTGCTTTGATATATATAATTTGAGTTAATTCAATTTAACCATCCTAAGTTGTGACTCAACTCTTATCTCAAGTCGATCTTCAAATTAAATTTTAAAATTACAATAATAATTATTTTTATTTTTATATAATTTTAAGTCAAGCCAAGTTATCCATCTCTTCAAATAATCTGAATCTTATCTTAAGTCCATCTTTTAATTGAGTTTTAAAATTATACTAATAATTATTTTTATTTTTATATTAATTGGAGCTAATAATCAACTTGAATGCCTTAAATAGAGTTTTAAAACTATAATAATAAATATTTTTATCTTTCTATTAATTCGAATCAACTTCTAAATCAGATTTTAAAACTATAATAATAATTCTTGTTTTTATTTTTATGATAATAATTCTCATTATTGCAAAACATAAATGACTTGTTTCACAAATAAATCAAGATTACATATATCAAATCTAAAGAAAGAATCAAATAATTATCTTCTCTTTTTTAAGAATATTTTAAATAAAAATGGTTCCAACTCACATATTTAATAAAATTAAATAATTGTACACATGCACGTTTAATTTCAAGCGTGAAAATCATGTCTACAAGCACATTGTCCAACTGAGATCTCACTTGAGAAAAGTACATCCGAGAAACAAGAAAACATACGATACCAAAGATGTCATTAGTTCGAGCGTCCAGGATGGGGGTATTATAACTGTTGGAATCACGGGGACACATACAGAACCACATACCCACCCAGCTGCAAGAGCTCCAAGCCTGCAATGATCATAAAAGAAACAAAAATAATAAATTAGATGGGTTTTTTATTGAAAATTGGGAGATAAATAGGCGTGAGGGTAAGTGACAGGTTCTCGTTTTCCTCTTTCACTTCTTT